CCACTCGACTCGTTTTCTTTCGATTGTCGTTTTGTATTTTTTAGATAGGAAAAAATCACATTTAAATTACGTATTACCAAAAAAGAAAAATTAACAAAAAAAAAAACCAACAGACATCATGGCAGCCACAACAGCAGCGAACAAATCACCGCAGCAACATGAACAGCAGCAACACAGACGGCAGCAACATCTTCAGTGGAGCGCCTGCATTTTGATAGTCGTGTTCGGACTGTTTTCGATGCTGGCAGGGAACTGTGTCAATGGGGTAAGTGGAGTCGTCTTCTTCCCGATCCCGATCCCAGAAATCAGAAAGGCCAAAAAGCCCAAGCAGCCCTGAAACCGCTTCTTACCTTTTTGATCGTTTCTATGGCCCGCAATTACTGCAAATATCTTTTGTTCATGCCTTTTTTTATGAGCTTGGGTAATGGCTTATTGAATAATTTGGCCAACATTGATTTGACAACTTCATTGGCCGCGTCTGTTCCCATTTGTCCGTATCGTTGCTGTATCAACATGAGCAACAGCAGCGGCAACACACACAAAAAAGTGTCATCTGAGATAATTTCCTACATTCATACCGAGTAAAAAGATTGCGCAGACCATTTGTCTCTTGTTTGATAGGGATCTCAGCCAGCAACAACAAACTCCCACGCAAAGTTGCAGCCACGGCAGCAACAACAGCAACACTAGCAACACCAGCAACAATTACAATTGTTGCCTCAAAATAACGGCCCAAAAAAGCGCTTGTGGCCCCCTTTCTCCCTCCTGGCCATCTTCTTTTCATGCAGCATGCAATTTTGCAAGTGCAGAAGAGCCCGCAGAGCCAGAAGAAGCTACAGAAGATTTGGGGCGCGAGGGGCAGAGCAACCAACACACGATGCAGACAACCTGTCTGCCAAAGTGTTAGACAACTTCTCACGTCCCAGCCAGAAACACAGGGGAAAAAGTATACCCAAAGCTCTTTCAAGTTGGGGGACGCCTCTTTCTAAAGAGGTGTCGTCATGAGTCTTTCTTCCTCTGATTTAAGTACACTAACTTAAGGGTTTTAGTAATTTTAAATATTTACTAGTCTTTTCTTTGAAAGAAAGATATATAATTTTTTAAATTTTCCCTTGATAGTTATTTTAAATAACGATCATCCAATATTTTGTTAAAAGAAACATATTATAATATTTTAAATTACCAGTATAATCCAGGATATATTTAGAAACATGAAAACGAGTATATTAAACTTATTCTAAAATTTAATAGCAATAACATCTCAAAGTGTAGCATAGTTAGACATCCAAAAAAAGGGGAAACAACATTCGCTTTCCACCATTTGAGGCATTCCCCGCCGTGTTACATTATCAATTAGCCTTGGTGGCCCCTCAGCCGCGCGCTCGCCAAACAGAAATAAAAAGGAAAATGCAGGGAAAACTAACCATTTTCCAGCCGTAACTCCCATGGGCCCATCTCGGTTGGCTTAGCGAGTTGGTATTTAAAGGAAAATGCTCTGGCCAAAGGTTGAGTGTGGAGGGAAATAATTGATGGTGTGCGGTGTTGGGTTCGAGAGTGGCATCTTGTCCGCTTTCTGGGTTACTGAGGCAATGGGCGGTCTATATAGTTTGTTGTTCAAGTCTTTCGTTGCCGTTGGAAAGGCTAAAAGCCCCTGGAAAGTTATTAGCGTGAAAATTGCAAGTGATTGAGAGAAGTTAGGGAGAAAAACGAGGCAGGTCGAATTTGCAATGCAAACGAAATGGTTGCTTTAAGGAAGATGTAGAAGATTTAAATAGGTTCCTAAGTTATTGAGTTATATTTTTGAGTTAATTTTTTTGAGTTAATATTTTTAAGTTTTTGAGAAATATAATTTTGCAAGCTTTTTTAGGGCATTTCATTGCTGTTTGTTATGCAACAACCTAAGATAATTAAATTGTATTTGTTCAAAAAATGAACATACATAATCTGTGGTGGGGATAGTTACATATATAAATCTGTGCTGTGATAGTTAAATTTATTAGATTACTCAATGTTACTTAGGTGACTAGAAATAAAAAATCAATTGATTTGGCTGAAAAGTAAAGATTAAATATCTTATGTATGAAATTTATAGCCCTAAGGCCGTTAAAGATCTCTATAATGTTCCCCATAAGTTCCCTGATTTTTCCCATGAAGAAAACCCCTGCTTTTCAGCCTTTTTTCCCACCCCCATCAAAGTACTGCACATTGCCAATCACTTTGCCCTGTCCCAACATCTTCAATTAGCATAAACTCAACATTAACCCAAATAGACAAACAAGCGCCAACGGCGGAAACTTTAACCCCTTGAAAGCCGAGAGATGGGCCGAAAGGAAGAGATTTATTTGAGCGTAACAGCGGCAACAATGGGATAAGAAATCGAGGCAAGATCAAGATAGACAGCCGGCGAAGATGCAACACATGAACAAATGAGGCTGGAACCAATGGATGCTTTTTCAGATGGTTCCCCCGAGAGATCGACACAAAAGAATCGCATCTTTTCCAACTTCGATATGTGGTGTGTGTTGTGATCCGTGTTGAAGCCCCCCGAGTTTTATTGTTTTACTCTGCTCTTTTCGGCATTTCATGGTTTCGTACGCATGAGATTGACAGTTGGTTGTCACATACTCTTTTCAGAGACCCACCTCCAATTATTTGCAACTGTTGCAAGTGCACAATTTTCAACACTCGCTGGTTCTTTTGTTGGTTTTTTGTTGCTTTTTTCGACGGTTTTTTGGCTGTTGCATTTTAAATTTTTTGTTTGTGTGGCAATTGTTTCAAATTGTAATTTGTTATTGTTTAGAGTTCATTTTGTTGCCGTGCTTGGGCAATGTTCGGCTGCCACATGTGCCACATGTGCCACCTGCCCAACCTCCCACACTGCCACCCACAATTGAAGGTCGCTGGTCTGCCTGCGCTGAGATAATTCACACGAGAGATCTACAAAGTCATAATTTAATTCCATATCTGTTGGGCGAGAGAATTACTTTTAACTGCAGTATTATATAATTTTATACTGCTTTTTCACAAATCCGAAATGGTGGTAATAAAATGACAAGTTGAATTTAATTAGCCTATATATTCATTTCGACAAACCATTGAAAACTAGACAATCCGTTATAAAATATTTTTCACTACGATTTGCCAAAAAGTATATATTACTTTTTATGGGAAAAAAGAATTAACCACTTGAGGGGTGATGTTTGTTTTTATTGAGATTTATTTATTGAGACATGAAACTAATCTTAAAACAACATATATTTATTTACGGAGCTTTACAAATATAATAAATATCATTTTGTAAACCCTGCTCATAAGTTCCTTTGTTAAAATTGTAAAGTAATCTTTTCCTGTTTTATATTCTTTAGCAAATTGATGGCTATACTGCTGGTGAGGATTATCCCGCCTATGATGCCGTTCCCAAGGGACTGGCCTTCAATTGCCAGGGCCGCCAGCCAGGTTACTACGCTGATACAGAGACGCGTTGTCAGGTGAGACCCAAAATAATAATCCATATAAGGTGCAGCTATTTTATTTATATCTTTTATGATATAAGTGATCATATTATTATCTTAAATATATTATATAAATATGATCTTCTCCTCCAGGTTTGGCATTGGTGCCTCCACTCGGGCCACCAGTACTCCTTCCTCTGCCCCAATGGAACCGTCTTCAACCAGGCCGTGAGGGTCTGCGACTGGTGGTCGAATGTGAACTGCGAGGGATCGGAGCAACTCTACCAGAACAACGACGAGCTGTATCGCATTCCAGAGCGCCAGCAGCAGCAGAATGACGTATGATATGAGGCCGATGATGAGTATAAGATTGGGACAGCAAACGGAACCAGACAGCGCGGCGGAAGACAGCGGCAATTTCAAAACCAACAGCAACAGCAGCAGCAGCAGCAACTGCAGCAACATCAAGCACTCAACAGCAACTCGGCAATCGGCGGAATCAACAGCAGCAATAGAATCGTAGATAGCAGCAACTACAATAAAATGACCAAAAATAGCTTTAGAGGTAGCATGAGATTTACCACACCAAGTACCAATCCTCAATCGTCATACTCATCATCACAGCAGCAACAGCAGCAACAGGAGCAACAGCAACAGCAACAGCAGCAACATCAGAATCAGAAGCAACATAATTCTAGTAAAAATAGCGAAAGAAAATCAAAGCCTAGTAGAGTTAACCATAGAGATAGGGAAAGCAACCAAACTAGATCTAGGAATCGCCCTCACAGTACCCCTCAACCCGGCAAGAAGAACAACAGCAACAGCAACAGCTCACGAGGCAAACAGCGATATAACACAAATAAATTCGATAGCGATGCGGAGCTCAAGGATTACAAGAGCAAGATCAAGAACAAATACAATATCGATTATGATCATTCTTTGGATGAAGAATATGAAATAATCGAGGCCATCGAATGAGTTTAATTAGCTTTATACTCGTTGTTCTTGATGTTGTTGTCACAAAAAATACTCCATATTGGCGCTACTTTCCCCCTATACAAATTTCGAATGTTCCCCAAAATTATCCGTTGTATATAAGTTAAAAAACCACATTCCTTTCATTGTTAAATATACACACCCCCTTCCATTTTCATTTAAATTTGTAAAAGAAAAACTTTGCTTTGCACAAAAGCAATAAAATAAACAAAAATTTAAAATAAACGAAGAGTTTTTTTTGTATTGTATGATTTGATGTTTTAAAGCAGTTCAGATTTGTGGAGTTTAAATCTGTTAGCTTATGACAGTGAGCAAAATAAAGTGTTGAAAATAATGAAAAGCAAAAGCTTGTGCAAATATATAAAATTTGTAAGCTTCAAAATCATTTTTAAAATTCCTATTTTCCAAAATTTTAAATAGTTTACAAAACAAGAAGATTTTGAATATTTTTGCATATTTGTTTTCACTTTACCTATTTTTAACCTCATGCTTCATTCATAAGCTGATCTGCATCAAAAATTATTCGGTTACTGGGAATAAGCTTTTGATCATCTGGATTAAACTTTAAAGCTTTCGATCCGATAGCAATAACGAACGTTTTGGGACCGCATTGTAATTTGTAATTGTAGTCAGCATTGATTGTTCTTATTTTAAAAACTGTGCGGTATGTGTATCCAATCAATCTTTAATAAATCTCCAATCTAATAAAATCTTGTTTTTAGAGGTCTGCAATTAAATAAAGTAAAAATAAAGAAGGAAGAAAAGTAATCCATGTGTTTAAGGCATATTAGCAACATGAACGAAAGACTGGCTATACTGGCTATAGATATCGTTTTATATTATTATCTTATGCCTGATTTGCCTATATGGGCCTTCGTACTTTTGAACTTGCTGACCTTTAATTATCCGCTTCAAAGATTTGCCGTGATTCTTGTTAACGCCTTTCTTAAGTGGCGCTTACTTCCGTTTTGTGAGGAATGGATCGCCAAAAATTCAGAGGAAGAAACTGAGTAGAATGTTTTATGCTTCAACAAAAGGTTATCCCACAATGAAAGATATTTGGAATTTTTTCAATAGTCCTAAAAGGCACCTAAAGGAAATGTGGTGAACTGGAAATACTTTAAAATGCTGAATAAATGTAAAAAAAAAAAACAAAAGATTTAATGTTGTATACAAAATAAACAAAATCAATGGGTAAACAAAAGCGGATCTCTTTAAATCAGTTTTTGATGACTGAGAGAAATTTAAGACTAAGTGATTACAAATTGCTGACTACGATAAAACGAAATGTTAAAAAAAACTTCGTAGCAATTCTTATTGTAAACTGAATTAGAGAGCTTTAAGACATAAAAGAGCTGAATGCTACAAAAAGTTTAGCGTGCGGATGTAAAGTTGCCAAAATACAGAGAGGAATACTTAGATAAATTATTGAAAACGTTAACAGTATGGAAAAGATATGTATATTTGTAGAGGAAAAATAAAATATATTTTAAAATGTATTTCTTAAATTAAAATAAACTTTAGAGCTTTAGGCTGATCTTCAGATACATACATACGATACGATCTGATTCAATAGTTGTCTCTCTCGCACATTAAATCTTTTAAAGCTTAACTTGACAGCAATCAGCTGTGAACCATATGGTATAGCTTTCGATCCGACTGAGAAAAAAATATTTTTATGTGCTGCGTCTGTTTGTTTTTTATTTTGTTTATTGTTTCGATAAGACGATAAAATGGAGCCATGGATAAATAATTCGGTGAGTATGGCAGACCCCTAATGATCTTACGATAAAAGCCTTAAATGTAGGTCTCAAATTACGATGATTGTACATACATATATACACTACCAACTTTTGGGAAATGTACACAAAGGCCCAAATGGTGGGTGAATGTTCACTGTGACGTTTAAATGGGAAGAGGAAGCAGACAATGGTTAGCAGACATAATAAGTTAGCTAATCGCCCTTCACTGGATTAGTATCTCCACCAAGGGTTTTGGGGAAAACGTAGGAGGTAGCATAATAATAATGGTGGATTTACATTTCTTAAGATTGAATGGGGGTTTGGATTAAAATATAAATGTATTGTTTGTAAAGAACAGTTTTAGGGGCTTTTGCCTTACAGTATAAGCGATATATGTACCTCTATAAATATTTTAGTCACTACATTTTTCCTTCTCTACATTAACGTTACCGGTAAAAGTTAAAGTATATTTCCTAATATTTAATGGTATTTACATAAATTAAACCTAAATATTCTGTGAATTATTATTCTGACTAAACAAATATCACGTTTTTCTAGTCTTTAAACGATCAAATAATATAAATATCAGAGATTTTTGTAAAAAAGTTACTTATAAAAGCATATTGTATGGTGTTGAAAACTTGAATAATGCAAAGCGTATGCAAACACCTCCTGTAATCTATGTATGCCGATCATAATCGTTACCCATTTCCACCCATCCACACCCCAGACCACCCAACCGAATTTAAATGAGGAGGAAAAAGAGTTGGATTTGAAGAAGTAGTTCAAGTTTTGTAAGCCACAACTGGAGATTGAGACTTTATTTCCGCGTACAGCCAGGCGAAATAATTGCGGGTAATTAAATATATGCTATATGTATATGTGTACTACACCTACGCAATGCCAGTCGTTCGTGCATAAGAAATAGGCCTCCTCCTCCAACTGATGCGGAAATGTCGCGTCTTTAGACAAATTCAAAATCCAAAACCAAAACCAAAAACCTAATTAAAAGTCAATTTCAATTTCAGTCATTAACCGAAAGCGGCACAAAGTGTGACACAGTTTGGCTTGGCTCTATTAACCCGCCCTCCCCGTTAACCCACGAGTGCCCCCCAGCTGCTGGGAATTATAAATCACAAAATGTTACTTTTCTTGACCATTCACCCACATTCGTTTTTCCCCACATTTCGGTTCACGTTTTTTAATGGGTTAGACGCTAGACGCCAACAAAACAAAAAAAAAAGGCAACGACGAACTGGTAACTGGAGTCAAGTTAACACCATTTGCATTATGCAAGAAGCTTAAACAATATTTTTTGCCTCTTCGTTAGTGTTGTTTCTTTGTTACGGTTTGTTGGAAGTGTCCACTAATTAATATGCAACTAAATAATTTACAATGTGACGCGAATTTCATGCAAATGGATGAACAGAAATACGATATGACTTGGTGAGGGCAGAGGGCGGAATAAAACAAGAAATTATTTCATTAACCCGGCTTTATGATGTTGAAACTGTATTCAATTTATTGCGCAAATTAATTTCATTTACTCAAAGTGATGCTGAATGTTGCTTTGTGGGAAGTTGAAATGCTCTTAAAAACTTAAGGGAACTTATATTTATTTTGGATTCGATAAAGAATTCTATGAAAGAGTTATATTAAAGCTTAAAAAAGAAGCATACATAAATTCTACATTTCGCTAACAGGTTTTAGAACATAGTTAAAATTTAAGGAACAACAGTTTTGTGAAATCTATATCGATCAGAAAGAACACTAAAAAAACGGACAAATATCAAAGGGGGTTTTCAGGACATATTTAGGATTCCAAAAACAATACCTTAACTTATAGAATACATTTTTAAAAGCCAGATTACCCTTTAAACACCGTAAAAACAAGCATAGTTCTAGAAATAATTTCACATTTCATTAACAGGTTTTGCAAGTTAGTTAAATTTTAATTAAAAATAGTTTAGTATACCTCTAAAACTTTTTAATATAACTTCTCTAAGAGAAGAGTACAAAATTGGCAAATGTCAGAAGGTCTTTCAAGGTGTCTGCGTCTGGTCTCGAAAAACCGGTAGATCCACGCACCAACACACCACTTGAAACTCATATCATCTCATCTCCATGGGATGTGAAGAGGAGTCTTCTGCGAAATCTTCTTGACCATTTTGGACGACCTGTCGTTGCGCATCTTAGCCAAGTCTTCGCTCTGGGGACTCAGAAGATGCTAGGCGACACTTCAACTTCAGCATTTGCCATTTTTGCATTCTAGAAACGACAGGAAGAGTCGCAATCGAAACTGAAGTCCCCACAAACGAAGGCTATCCACTTTGTATGCCACAATTGCAACTGGTTTCTTTTTCTTTGCCTCTGCCCAGTGCAGTTTCGGTTGTTTTTGTCTTCTGTCTTATAAATAAGTTGCGTCTTTTTCGCATGCGTTTTGAAATTAATGCAAAACATTTCGGTGCGGCTTGTTTTCCCAGTGCTCCGGCAGCGAGTCGTCTTTCGAACAGGTCTCCAAGCTGAAGTTGATTTGTGTGCTTAGTATAATTGCTGCGATTATCGAGTTGCTGAAGAGGAGACCGCTCCTCCACTCCCCTCGATGCGAAGATCTCGTCTTGGGTAAGGTTAAGTTGGTTTGCGTTAAGCGATTGTCAAGTGTATTCAAATCCAAAAGATGCAATCTCCGGTTTTGACTTGGGTCTGTCTCAAATTGTCGATCTGCCCGCTGACGAATGGCAACTGCCAGAGGCGTAGTCTAAGAAAAAAAGGGGTACAAACATTTTTGGTTACTTAAATAACAATAATGATTGTGACAGATAGAGTGGTAGCCATTTATAGCTGATCTTTAATATTGGATTGACTGTCATTTTAAAGTTTATAGGCAGGGTCAATTATAGTTCAAGTGGGAGTAGTAATTGACTGATCTTTGAGCCATTTACAAACTTTTTAAATTTATAAACAATTTCTGAAGTAGTATTAAAGCGTTCATTACCAGGGCCATTGGTGAGGTGAAGTGATTTGATTTTATCCAAATAAGTCTGTTTTCTGTTTATATAAGGTCAACGCTTTAGCAAAGATGTTTGATAAGTTTATTTTTAGACACATCAAATTGTTTTTTAATGACTTCACAGTGGAAATTACCTAAATTATGATGATTATGTTAATGGGTCTATTTCGGTTTGTTAGTTTGAAAATGAAAAGTTTGTTTATCTAAAAATTATAAATTAATTACTAAGTGGAAAATTGACAAACCTTTTCCATTAATTACCAAATGAAAAATGATTATTTGGTTAAAATACAAACTACATTTTTATTTAAATCATTTTTCAAAGCTTTTTTGTGATATACCTTTACATTTTCCATTCTTTCTCTCACGCTTTATAAATAATATTTTATTACAACATCTCTGCGTAAATCTCAAGGCTTAACCCGAGAAATTCGATCTGGTTTCCGAGCCAATCCATTTATCAGTTTGCATTTAAATATTCAATCTAGCCAAAAAACCATTTTCCATGCTAATTAAGTAATCCGACCTGCCCCAAGCATGAAATCTCCAAACGATCGATGGTTAAGACGGGTCTACCATTCCAGTCACACCTCATGCTCCATTTCTTGGACCACTTTTTCGCAATCCAATTTGTTTACCCTTTCGCTCGGTATTGTGTGTGTATATCAAATTAATTTCCAATCAAATTAAAACGAAATTTGTATTTACAGGGAGCCATTTTCGGGGTCTGAGTTAAACGGAGAAAGAAAGGCCGGCCATCAAAGAAATAATACCCAAGATGCTCCTAACAAATTAACATAATTAAGGCGCCTGCCCAATGGCTGAACATTAGGAGAGAGATATATCGAAAAATACACGCACTTTTGTGCCGCGATCATCAACGCGATCAAATGCAAATGAGGCGACATCAGTCAAGAGGCCGAAAGCGAAATGTGCATCATCAACACGAAATCTTTGGGCTGGCAATTGCATAATACGTAGAGCTAACCAAACACGACCCCATTTCCGAAATCGCAAAACCCCGATTGTTGATACACGGCCGACGAACACAACGAAGGTAGATCCAAAGTTTTGCATTAAGTATACGCTACGTGGACCCCTGCCGTCATAATGGATCTAATGGAGCTGATGCATCAGCTGTTTCTGCACATATTCGACATTTTTAAGATATACGTCAAGTTCGCCTTGATTACGTTGATCATTTACTTCTTGGCCGAGTGGTATATCCTCAGATATGGGGCAGAATTAGAGGCCGAACTGGATGCCCATCTGGTAGAAGGTGCCGAACTGAGAGAGGAATCCCCGGAGCGACCCGAATCGAACAGCACTCTGAGCAAGGTGTTCCGATTCGTGGTGAACTTTTTCATCCTATAACAACCGAATCGACTCGACTCGACTCGATTGAACCCACTTGTCAAGGTCAATCGCTCGGCTGAATCGGTTTTGCTTTTTCGCGGAATTGCAATTCGATTCAGCCAGCCACATCTCAAGGCTCCTGTTAAGAGAATGTAAAAATCGAACCAGTTGCATTTAACAACAGAAAAATACAAAACAACATAAAAAAAATCCAAAGCAAAAGCTGCAAAAGTAAACACAATCTTTATATGTAATAAACAATAACAATAAGGAGCTGTAAAAAAAACAAGTTGAGCTGCTTTTTTTTTAGGAAGGTACTAAAAGGTATCAAAATCGTGCATTACATTTGGTTCTGTTGGGTAAGCAAATAAGAATGTCTCAAAATCTTTGCTTTGGGGTGGGGCTTTCATGTATTTGGGTTAATTTCTGGGCAATTTGCAAACAAAACCACAAGAAGTTGCCATAAAAATACCTGCAAATTGCAGCCATTGCACTTAAGGAAGTGTTATATAAACTGAAATGTTAATGGCGTTTTTATGGAGATCTTGGCGGTTTATTATTGAAGAACATTCATCACAGGTGAGTGGGTCCTTGAAACTAAATAACAATGAAGAGGTTATTTTTCCGTAATGGTGTTGTATATAATTGTGTAAATGACTCTTAATTCAGGATTCCATTCCAAACAGAATTTATATTTCTGGATTTTTATGGCTTGCTTAATTGTAATTTGCGAGCCAGACAAGTTTCTGATAATGTTAAAGTTCAATAACATATTTATAAAAATTTTAAGACTTGAAATTGTTTGCTAATACATGGCATTACAATCTTATTAAAATATCTACGCACACATTTTTCAAATATACTCGTATTATTTCCTTTACTTATTTCAAATACTTATCACGGACCACCCCTTTTGAACAAGTGTAATTTTTACAAAATTCACTTTTTATCAGAGCTATCTAAAATACCTGGCAATAGTCGACTATGGATCTATTGATCGGTGGATGGTTGTTGCTGGTTTGTCGACCAGTTAAGTAGTAGTTACAACACGTTGTGCCGACTGTTGATATTGTTATTGTTGTTGGCGGTGAGTGCTACCTGCAACAAATGTGGAATACCGGTTCAACAAACCGTTCGACCCACACAGCCAAATACATATAAAGAGCCGGGCGACACGGTGCTCCCATTCTCACACAGATATAGGGACATGGACACAGATACAAAGTTTTGAACGTAACTAGATGTGAGATGTGAGCCACAAGGCACAAGGCACACGCCGCTGGCGATAAAGCACTCGACAATTCCGCATGCTACAGATACAGATACTCTAAGCTCGGCTCTACTCCGATTTGAATACCCAGGCCAGGCAGCCCAAGTTGGGCTCAGCTGGCCTGAGTTGGGTTTAGTTTTTAAATTCAACTTTCACATGCGGAACGAGCGCAGATGCAGTGCAGCATTATTGCTATTAGTGCGGCTGCTACTGCCACTGCACTGGGAAAAATATTATCTTTCTTCTATGAGTTTACAATGTTTTATAACTGTTAGGGGGATGTAGCTTAATACTGGTTAAAACACCTTGAAAATGGACTATATACACATTATTAATTGTATTTCAGCATACAAAACTATGTCTAATATATATGAAAGGTAAGTATTATCCTAAATAACCTTTAAGTAAGGTGAGTAAATCTAAGCATCAAATGGTACTTATATTATCATATCATAATATCATCTTAAAATTTTTTCCTCTGTGTAAGTAAGCATTTTCTAAAATGTACAATGTAAGCTTGAAGAATTCTCTACTTCTACAAACATTTTAAGTATCTTAGTAAGTAAAAGATAATTTTTTTCAGTGCACTCTAAGCCAAAGCTGCAGTACTTAGTGACGTAATATAGGTGGACAGAGGCGGGCGATGCGGGGATATGTGAAGCCTAGTGGATTTATACCATAAGCCGCAGTGAACGGGTCTTGATTGATTCCATTATGAAGAGAGCCGCAAAATGCTTTGCATTATTTTGCATTCGAAACCAATTTCGATCAGTGGTTTTCGGTCAATGAAAATCCAGCCCGAAGTGCAGTCTTGACCAACTACCGCGGCCAGCATTTAATTGCCAAACAAAGCGAGGCACTCAAACGATCGGACCACGCGGCGTATGCGCAATAATTCATGAGGCGTTTAAATAATTTCTGTTTACTTGCCACTGTGAGTCCGAGGGCCTCTGCGTTTGTGACTAATGCCTTGGCAGATGGCTTTTGGGCCAGCGCGGTTCATTAATTGAACTGTAACCGTAATTTGGCCGTATTATTGTTACCATTATGTCATCGCGGTCACCAGGTAGTTGAGCCAAAGAAAGAAGGAAAGCAAAGCATTTAAGGCACTAAAAATAAACAATGCACACGGGCATATTAGTTGGCAAATCGATAATGGATCACGATCAATTTATTAAGTAATCTATTGTAGGGTAAAGACGGGCGTAATTATCTGTGCGATATAAAAAGTAACGATTTTTAATCGGAAGCGTAGCATTGTAAAAGGAAATGTAGCTTTGTTATGATAGATGGTAATCATTTTATTGCAAAACTTACTGGTTTAAAGACAGCTTAATATGAATTCATAACATTAACATTGGACATTTAAAAATATAGTAAAAGTTGTTACGGCTTTTATAATTATATATACAAATTATATTAAAAATTAAAGTATAGCTGAAATAAATAATGTTCTGTAGTGCAGGGGCTAATTACTTTCTGACTTTACATCAGTTATTATGCAAAAATAGATCAAAATGCTGGTTTTTTTGCACACATACTCAAAAACACGATAAGGTTTTGCAAATTACATTATAAAACTCGTAACGCTTTTGCAATTTAAATATAGCCCGCCTTCTCCGCCAACTGCTCCAATAAACCCATATTAATTTCTGGTACATTTTATCAATATTTTGCAAGAAATCGAGAAAAAAAAGGTCTGAAAAAATCTTAATCAATAAACCTGTTAAGCACGATTATCAGCCCGTCGCCAAGTGAGCAGCACGCTCAAAAAGCAGAGCAAAGTCACCCAGGCAAAAGCAAAAGCAAAGGCAAAGTAAAGTCACCAGGGAAATACAATTTCAAAGACACACCGATTGCAGAATGTTGACAGAGGAAAATGGATAAAGTCAGAGGCGAGAAAAGCTCGGCTTATAGAGAGAGCCAGCTGTACGGCTCTCCGAATCTTCAGCTCTCCGAATCCGCAGCTCTCCGAATCTTCAGCTCTCCGGATTTCTTCGGGCTCTCCAACATTCGGTGACAACGTGCTGCGCATGCGCAAAGTCGGCATCGAAGCGGCAATAAACCCGTTTTCTGAGGCGCAGACGGACCAAAATTAGCGAGCGATGGAGCTTTCGACGGAAAAGCAAACGCAAAGCCAGCCGAATTCCCATTTTTATGCCAACTCCGAGTTGGCCAATACGATCTGCAATTTCAGTCTGCAAGCGGTCAGCCAGGTGAACGGCAGCCAGCACAGCTGGTCTCTAAGTAAGTGGGCGTGACCGATCGGGTGCATATATATATATAAATATCTTCGTGTATATACATATGAACGGGTGTCTCTGTGCGTGAGAGAGTTGGAAAAATTATATAAAAAAGTGTTCGAAACAAATGGAAAATTTTAATAAAAACCTAGCTAAGAGAATAGCTAAAAAGTGTTCAAAAATAGTGTGAATTCCCTCTGAAATCCTTTATGAAATCCTATATAAATCACTTGAAAATAATTGAAATTTATCAAAGATAACCGCAAAAGCAGTTACAAAATCAGCCAAACAACAATAAAAATTTCCACAAGTGCACTAACACAAACACAGGCCCACAAAGAAAACTGCAGCATTAACACAAGTGCAAAAAAAAAAAAGAAAAACATTAATGATTTTTGCCTTTGTGTGATTTTGCGTGCCTTTGCGTTTGTGTGAGTGCCAACTTTTATGGTGCTAAATTTTTATTGTTCACTTAAGAAACGTATAAAATTAAAACAAAATCAGCTGAAAACATTTGGAAAAATCAAAACAACTTGAGCAGATAAAACCAGGGCGAAAAACAATAAACCCTTTCGTGGATTATACAAAACAAATTTCGATCGACCGAAAAAAAGGTAAGTTTGAAAATTTGCATTTGCTTGTTAGAGGGCTCTGTGGAGCTTATCTACAAGTCGAACACCTCGAGTGGACTCAACACCTATTTATACACCCTTCCTAGTACACAGAAAAAAATCTTATACAAAAATCTTATGAAAAAATTTTAATAATAGGGTTATTGGAAACTACGTTGATAGGATGGAAATTCTTGTAATTACTCATTTATATACATTTTTAATGGCCTAAAATAGATATGGATTTATCGTTCTTTGCAAGTAATATATTTAATGGATATACAATTTTAATTTAATTTAATTTACTACTCATTGCTTATTTACCTGCAAAGAGATCTTTTATATAAAGTTTTAAAAATTCTAAGCTTGTGCAATGTGTAAATTTCTAAAGAGGTTATTTATATATAGTTTTCGATATTCTTCACATAAACTATGATTTAAAGAAACCAGGGTTAGAGATTATTTGATTTTTAATTTTCGTAAAATCTTTTTAATGTTTTTTTAACAATAAGTCAAATTTTTTGATTTTATTTTTTCGGTGCGCTAGGGTCCACCATCTCTCATGGCCAAAAAGGCGTTTTGCCAACACAAAAGTACCGAAATGATCTCAGGCGTTGCTAATTATTTCGCTGCGCCTTGTACATTGTTAGACATCGCCCGCCCCCGCCGCCCCTTTTGGCCACAACCCCCTTTACCGCCCCCCTGACTTTTGCAGTTACAGTTTTTATTGGTGTTTGTGTGAAGAGTTGTTCAAATGGTTTGCGCATCTTCAGCGCACAACACCAACACCATGGAAACAACGAATATGGCCAACAAAACTGAGCCAAGATTTACTTTCATCATCATCAACAGCAAAAGCACAGCAGCCACAAATGAAATTTTGAAATTTTACTTTCATCCATTTATTTGGCGCTTTTCACTCTCCATTTCTACGTTATTTTCTACCGCTTGCCTGCAGTTTTCCACAATTAAAAAACTTAACAATACTTTTTTGCTTAATTGTCCCAAAACAGAGTAGAAGTTAAGTAATACCTGAAATTTTTTTGTGCGTCTGGGAACTGAACTCTTTGCGAGTTCAGGTCAGAGTCAAAAAGTTGGCCAACCGGAATGGGCGATAAAACCTATTTGCCAAAGAGCTTTAGTAAATGTAAAAAACATAACCAAGCTAAAAAATAAAACAAACACAAATTGATTTTGATTTGTATGTGGCGAAAAAGGAAACCGTGTTTTCACCAGCTGCCAACGACTGCTTGAAGATGCTGTGTAATGCAAAAAGCCAAAGAAAAGCCGAGAAAAGCTCCTAATGGGGTCCATGTTCATCGCAGATTTAGGTTAGAGATATGCGATTCATACACCTGAAGTTTCTTTAAAAAATATTGTAAATGTTACCAAAATAGCTGGAAATATTAATGCAAATAAGTACTTTTAATACCCAGAAACTAACAGATACAAATAAATCACAATTAGGCTTAGGTTTTTTATAAGACCCATGTGACATTTCTTAAAATCCCTAGACCCATTGAAAATATACTAAATGTATACCCAAACAAATAAGTTGTTTTTATTAAAAATTTAAGTAGTAAATAAATTCCGTGAAATAAATTCAAATGTATTAACAAGATCGTCAAATACTAAAATATGGTAAATAAATTCTTAAAGAGATATATACAAGATCTTTCTTAGAAGTCTATGAAATATTTATCAAGGCTTCTTAGGAAAACAACAACCATTTTAACAAAAGCCTTTTGTTTCCGTTAGTCATAGTTGAAACCAATTATCAACACACAATTAACACAAGTTATGCTCCGTTGAATCCTATTAACTCTTTAAGAACTGGCTTCCCCTTCCTGTGAACTAGTAACCTACGTCACTCCATTAATAATTCATAAAAAACTAAACGCCGATTAAAGACAAATAGCAACTATAAAACCCAGTGGGCCGTAAAATGCCTCACACATTTTCGAAATTTCCGAAAATGATTTGGTGCCATTGTGTACCATGAGAAACGGCCGTCTTTTAAAGTCTGCACTGCACCAATAAACCACGAAAAAAGGCGACCTTGAAAGTGCCCCAAGCCGAGCTCTCATAACATCCTATAAAGATGCTAATTTCTTATGACAACGAGCAACTTGTACTGGCCAGCTGGCGACTGGCTAAGAGAGATGATGGCAGACTGAAAAAAAGCGACCATAAGAAACTTGTCACCGACTTCTGTTTCTATCGGGCAACCGGATTGGGACAACCTGGGGTTATAAATTTCGATCACAAAAAAACCCGTTGCTGACGTCGAAGAAATTTATATGCAAAATACACATGAATAAAGATGTAAACGAAAACGAGAGTTTGTCCCCAGACGATCTTGCCTTTTAGCCATGATGCATCTAACAACAAGGCAATAAAATTAAATACAAAACAAAAAAACTTATAAAACTTTAATTAAATTGCTCATTGTGTCTGTGTGGGAGGCAAAACCTTCGGGGCTTTTGATTCTAGGCGATTTTGATTGTTAAAAAAAAACCATTCAAAGTCAGAGAATCTGTGAGCAGATGGAAAAATTTGCAAAGTTTCAAGGAAAAGCCACCGACGATTTTTGCCATTATAATGAATATTTCATGCAAATGTTCTATTAAAAATCAAATAAATTTGTATGCCTTTGGACAAATTAAAAATGAATTTCCTAAACCAGATCTAGATTTTTTTTTATTGTTTCCGTTTTATCTTGTTTTGGTTTTTTGCTGCAGTCGAACGTGTCTAAAGAATTATCAATTAGGTACAAAACACAGGCAGGGGCAAAAATAACAACTCACCGGTATTTGTCATCGTGCTTAGCCTTGAATTTGAACTTGGCCAAGACAATAAGACCTGCTAGGCATCGACTTTTCGAGACATCATTCATTGTCTCTTGACACTCCGATTTTGATATCACCGTGGGCTGTAAAAGATTAGATGGCCGAAATTAATAAGTTAATATTTCATTTGCGAACAATGTGCTGCACTAAATTCGAAATTATGTAGGCACTAAAAAGAAGATCCATAAATTAACTTTGTTTAGCACAGGGCAATTTATCACCGATATTCGAAGACACCCGATGGCCGAGCTGGCCTTAACTTTTAGCCAAGACATGGAAATTGGGCAAAATGTACATGAATGGGAAAAACTGAAGAGAAGTTGATGAATGGAAGGTCTCGGTAATACTTAGTGTGTGGGTCTTTAGGTAAACATGAGAATATTTACATTATTTTGGCCAGCTTAAGATTTTTGCACAGGTTTGATTTAGGCACAGGTTCTTAAGCGAGGCCTTAACTAAAATAGAAAAAAAGTAGTAAAAAAACTATTGTTTTGGGTTTAACAAACAAATTGTTGGACAAAAAAAGGCTTGTCCCTTATGTTTAAAAATTAAAACGCACCCAACAACAAAAGTATAAAACATGTAAAACATTTGTATAAATGTTAAAGTATTGGCTTTCTGTTTTCTACTTCTTAAAACTAATAATATATAATATTTAAATAAAGTTTTCAATGGAATCTATTATGTTATGCTCGAAAGATGAATATGTAAATCAAAGGAAAATTATGATTGTAACAATATTTTTTTCCCTAAGACTCGATTCGAACTAGAATTCCAAGCCAAAATCTACAATAAAACGAAGATCTAAACGCCCACAATAAAATCTGAAAGCAATCCAAATGTTTTCAATTGTTTTTGCCATTTTCAAGAACCCTTTGGCATTTCGACCGAGCCATTCGTTGCCATAAAAGTTGTTATCTCTGTCAAAACAGAAACCATTATCATATTTAGTGAGATATTTATCTCCGCACTCGGCCCACACAGACGGGCAAAATGTCAAAAAGTGCAAACCAGCCGAGAGACACAAACAGACTGGCAAACAGTCAATAAGCCAGGCCGAAAGACATCAAATCCAATCAAATCTCCACTTAAAATGCACGACACACTTTTTGTATTGGTTAGACAACAGATCACCAAAAAACAGGGTGTGATCGGCAAAATCTTTGAACTCAGGGCACTGAAATTGAGCAGAAAAATTGTGCCGTGCATAAACAGAAAGGCGGAGGAGGAGCTTCCTCGACAATCCGCAATGCCCATCAAGTATACGCCCCGTGTGCGAAAAGACCAAGGAGACTTGGCCCAAACAATGCGCAATAAAAATACTATTTTTGGGAGAAACAAATTGCATTTAACTTTGGCTATCGACTGCCAAATTACAATGCTCCAATGATCTTTTCCGAGCCAAAGCCGTTTGCATTCAGTTTCTCGGGGAAAAAACGCATTGGAAATGAAAGTATTTTTTTCTCGCTTGCTTTTCAATTTGTTATAGTTATGCATTGTGTTTATTATGTGGTCGAAGTAGTTATTCATTTGTATATTTACTTGTCAGTGCGGTGGCCACCACCCTTTCAATTTCGCCCAGCCATTCGCTCTTATTCGCACTTACGTAAGTCGAACCCACCGAAGTGACATTGAAGGCTGCCAAACCTAATTATGCAATTACCCGACACCCGAGACGGAAATCGGAAAGTGAAGCTAGCTGATCGAAGTGAGCACAATAATGTTTACGCGAAATTTGCAGTGATTGCATTAGTTAATTGGCCCATTTGTGGAGAAAAAGAGGAACGTTTAGATGGTAAATTAAGTGGTATTCAGAAAATATTCACTTGAACAGTGATTTTGCTATAAGTAGGTATAAAAATATAAAAGGTTTTGACAATGATTCATCAGATCCTAATCAAAAACTTTGGTATTCTGATAATTTAGGTTGAGCTCCAAGCTATTTATTTCTTAACAGAACTTTTTGTCTAACAGACCAAGAATATTTTCAATATCTTATTGTAACACATGTTTTAATTTATATTCATAAGATTTTGTTGAGGTTGTGATTCAGGTTGAGCTCCTAACCATTTTATTGTTTTTTGTGAAACAGATCTAAAATATTTTTTTGTAAAATTAAGTGTTATAAATTGTAATATAGAAATAATATATATATCTTTTAGGAGACCGCTTTCAGATCACACATTCCATCCATTAATTTCTAAAAGTCTCCCTTCCCAGAGAAATTTCACTACTTTTCTTTTACCATAAGTCTATGAAAACAAAATCGAAAAGCTAACCAAATACAAAAGTTCAGCCAAGAACACTTTCTACAACCAATTTTGGATAGAATGCATTTCTGCATGAAGAAGTTCCCCCTTAATGAACCCCCTTCTTTTCGACTCTTCCCGACTTGAATGACAAGCACACAAAGTAACGTTAATCATGGGACGTGATAGGAATATTAAGATAATATGAAATCCAGAACTCTTCGAAACCATCAAAGATTAAGAATGCGAGAGGTTTCTTTAATTTCTTTTCATTTCTGAAGCGTTCAACGACTTCAATAGAACATAAATCTTCCGCAAAGGTGTAAGGGGTGTGTCCGAAACTGATAAATTTACATAATATTTTGTATATTTTTCATTTCAGTTAGCAAACAACCAGAGAACTGAAGGCTTCAAGATGAGAAAAGCCAAAGGCTGGCTGTTAATGACAGCAACAGGTAAGTTCGAATTGAAGGACACTGCTCAACTGAACCCAAAAAAGCACTTAAATTCGATTATCGAACCGGACCATGACATAAGACCAATCCTTGCCGAATTATGTAATTTTTGCCAGCTGTGAAATTTTAATTAATTTAAACTTCGCTTCCCTTTTTGATTTAGTGCTGCTGCTGAGCCTGTTGGCCTCCACAGATGCCGCCCTGCCCTTCAAGAAGGTGTCCATTGCCAAGACTCCCGCCTCCACGAGCAGCACCACCAGCACCACGACGGAATCGGCCGTCGAGGAGGAGGAAGTGGAGGAGGAGCAGCCAGTGCCCAGCGGCGATGGTGGCGACAGTGGCAAGGTAAGATGATGAGATTAACTAGGGGTTTCCTAGTAATGCAAACTTTTACGTAATCTCATTTTCAGTCGGACAACGTCACGCTGTCAAAGAACTCCAAGCTGACGGGTATCCCACAAATCGATTATATTTGGGATCCCAATCTGCCCAGGGAACTGAGAGGGTAAGTTAAGTTATTTTAATACTTAAAAAAGCGTAGGAAGCACCTGTTGCAAACCCTAGAGAATTTTATCAAGAGGATATTATCTATGTATATCAATTTTAATCAATTATTTGTAATAACGTCAACTTAACTCTGTTAACAAATAACAACAAGCCTATATACCAAGTTCTCAGAATTTTAAAAAGTGATCGAAAAGAATTGGCCAATAAAAGTATTACGCGTTAAAAACGAGTAGAACGAGATTGATTCTCAGAAGGCAAAATAATTACATATATTTGTTTTAATGGTTTTTTTAAGGCCCTTCAATGTGTACAGGTAAGGATCGATAAAGGGTGGAAAGTGTTTTATGGTTTTACCTAACCATATGTAAGTTTTTCTAGCCACCAAGTTAATGACACCTTTTTGAGCCTCAATAATAATAAACGGCTTGTTGTTGGCCTACCTAAACATGTTACACAAACATCTTACGTGTCTTTAGATGGTTATATCAGTAATTTAATAATTTTGAAGTGTGTATATATGTATACCCCCTTTAGGAATTGTTAAAGCTTATAGATTTTAGTCATTCTATCACTTTTAAATAACTGGTCCTATCCTAAACTTACGTAAATATAATTTTGATCATCCCGCACAGCTACAACCTGTCGACCTATCCCTTCCTGTCCACCGTGCCGTCCATGGATGAGATCCACTTCAAGTGCGAGGGTCTGCACGACGGCTTCTATGCCTCCATCGAGTACAAGTGTCAGGTGAGCAAGCCGGCGTGACCTTGTCTGGCCAAAAGCGACGTAACAAAATTGGACATCAAACCTGGTCAAACCAAACACAGCCCAACCCAACCCAGTCCCTTTGTACCTTACCTGTCCAGCAATTTCTCTTTTTTGTTTAACTGGCGACGTGACGCCAAAAACTAAAACTTGTTTGAGCCTCGATCTTGACCCCAAAAGCGGGCAAAAAGAAGCGCTAAACGAGGGCTAACAGAGAGGATTAGTTATGGCCAAACAAATGTGATTAACCAGCTTTGGTCTCGTTGCAGATCTACCACCACTGTGTCTATGGCATAAGACACGACTTTCTGTGCGCCAACTTCACGGCCTTCGACCAGCGCACCTTCATCTGCCACTTTGCATCCGATGTGGACTGCGAGGGATCCCAGAAATACTGGAACAGGTGAGAATCCCCTAAAAAATATGTTGAATATAGGAACAAGTAAAGATATCTTAATTATTTTATATACCATTAACTTAAATTGGTATAATATGAATGTATGGATCTGAATACAAAAGCTAATCTCTTAAAATTATCATCCTCTTCAATAACTTATTTAAACGCTCCTAATAATATTAAAAAATATATAAGTTACATTACATTTTTATCTCTTTCCCTAGAAACGATGAGCTCTATATGGCTACCACAACCACGTCCACGAGTACCACAACAACGCCCGCCCCACCCACTCAACCCTCTGCCCCCCGTCGTCGTCCTCAAAGACCACAACGTCCGCTAAGGCGTCCTTACAACCGCAGACCTATCGATGACTACTACTACGAGGACCAGGATCAGTACGAGGACGATTACTATGAGGAGCGTCCCGTGCGAAGGCCCAAGCCCAGACCACGTCAGAGGAAGCCCCAAGTGGAGCTGGACTACGATGATGAGTACGAGGAGAAGCGAGCGGAGGCCAAGAAACCCATCAGGAGGAATAGGAATCGTTACCGCGATGAGGAGGAGACTCAGGATGAGGACTACGACGAGAGGCCGAGTAAGAGGCCAAGAGGTAAACCCACAGCAGGACCAGTGGGTCGAAAGGTATCTCCCAGGAAGCCAGGACGCGTAGAGGAACGTCGCAGCTTCAACGAAGACCGTCCACTGGGAAGGAGACGGGTGGAAAAGGACAGGACAACACCATCGTCCGCTTTGGACGACCTGGATGAGTATGAAAAACCCTATGGTGGTGCGGATCAGGAAGAGGCCGCCGAGGAGCAAACACCTCAGAAAGTGAAGACAACACCAAAGCCACTCACGGAATTCATCACTCCCAAGGCGGCAGCAGCATCCGTTTATGCTCGTCCTCGGGCTCCACCGAGGATAGCTCGACCCGTTCCCATCAATGAGAAGAAAAAGTTCTCCTATCCGGTGCAAAAGATCACGGCCACCACGCAGCCACCATCAAACAGTGCACAGGAGGAGGAGGACTACCCTGAAGAGCAGGTGGAGGAGGAATACGAACAGCCTCCGGCCAGGAACACTCCTCGGAGACGTACACCAGCACCACGCGTGGAGCAGAAGCCCACGAGAACCACGTTGAGAAAACCGGTGACGGACAAGAAGCCTGCCGATGAAGAGTACTATGAGCCGGCGGAGCAGGAACCTTTGAGAAAGCGCAAGCGTCCTCTGGCTCCCAGATCCCGTGCACCGGCAGCAGATGTGGATTTCGAGGATGAGGACTACGAGGAGAGTCCGGCGCCCGTTTCCACAGCAGCTCCATTGAGAAACCAGAGACTGAGGTCCAAGACAACCACCACCCGGAAGCCAACAGTGCCGCCACGTCCGCGCAAGCCAATCGTGGAGGAGGAAGAGGAGCTGGAGCATCCAGTGGAGCAGGTCGAGGAGGAGGCACCAGCCCCCAGGACGAGAGTCAATTTGTTGAGCGGGCGAAACTCAGGCGTCTCGCAGCGTCCTTCATCGGTACGTGTGGTCAAGCGACCATTCCTGCCCTCTAGGGGCGGCAGTCCATATCTGCCCCGAGGCCTTCAGCCAGTGGGTGTGGCCTTGAAACCACTGCCCACCACCGATAGCACCCCAATCGACATGGGCTCGACCATTTCGGGAGTGCGTCTGCTCGAGCATGGAGCTCCTCTGTTAAGAGGAAGTCCTGATAGCGAGGAAGATGACGAGGAGGAGGCTCCGCCATCGCCCACTCCACCCAGGACGACGCTTCCGCCTCGCAGTGCTCTGCCCACCACGCCTAAGCGTGTGGAGCCGCAGCGTCCCAAGCTAAATCTCGACGAGCTCTACGAGAACGATTACGATGTGACCCTGAACGACGCTCTCGATCCCACGCTAAAACCGCTCTCGCCCCAGCACATTCCACATTCGCATCAGCTTCCATATCAGCAGCAGCAGCAGCAGCCGCAATTGCAGCGCCAATATGCCAGCTCCTATAATCCATTTGCCTATCAGCCAGCGTATCAATCACCAACATCCGCTTCAGCATCCGCCCCTGCATCAGCATCCGCATCAGCATCCGCATCGCAGTCGCAACCAGCGAACTATCATAGTGATTCCTATTTCTCGTCGACAGATATACGCCGGCGGGCTGTTGTCCCGGCGCAAGCCGCGCGTCCACATCGACTCGAATACGCTGCTGCCGGAAGAGCAGCCGGCGGATCGTCCAGCGGAGGAGCCGTCGCCGGGTCGGGAGTGAGCCGGAGCTACCAGCAGGCGGGCGGACGGGTTGCCCAGCATTTCTACGACGACTTTGCCTACTGAAAAAGGTTCGCTTGTAATAAGGTGAGTTTTAGTTTTCATTACATATGTAGTTTAAGATCTTAAATAACTTGGTTTTCTTAATCTTGCAGTTTCTTCAGCTGTAAATAAGTTTCCCCCAACACGAGGAGAGTTCCCATTTTGGTGCACGGCTCCAACTTCTTAAACAAATCTGTCTCTACCTTAGACGTTTAGCCGCAAAAACCTACTTGTAATTCAAAAAGGTTTGGGACATATTAAGCAATAGCCACTAAAAAACAACATAAGCGATATTAACTTTTTAAACTTATGTTTTAGTTGAATACCTTAGAGTTGCAGTAATATTTTAAACCCAATATCTGAGCGCTCTTTAGCTTGAATTTTATCAATTAACGTTCAATCGCTTATGCTATTTTTGCTCTATGAGCTCTATATGTCCTGAACACCCTACTTATATATACGTTGTATAATACTCAAATGTCGTGATAGTAGCAGCTTGCGAATTTGTCTGCTAGCTAGTATCTAGTAGTTTATAAAACTTACTTCCTCCTACTCGTTTAACTCCGCCAAATCAGAAATCAAAACAGAAAACATCCAGCCGAACAGCAGAATCGATGTCCTTAATGTACATTTAGAGCGAGCGAATACTTAATGTGTTAATTTAAAATTGCAATTTGCATACAAATTGTCTGTAATATTTAAGCTTTGTCGGAGATCGTGTTCGTTGTAGACAGCCAAGATCCAAGACTTAAGTCGGAGTGCATAACAATCAAAACAAAAAGTGAAATAAATATAAAACCTACTTAGCTAATTTTTTACTTGGAGAGGCGCACACTAATCTTTTTCAGATGTTTTCAGACAGTTCTTGAGGTTCTCCGTTTCCTCCTCCAGATGGTCAAGTTTTTTCATTAAAATGATCTAAAATAGGTTCGATATTAGCAGGGCACAGAATATTTTGGATAAACATTGTTTTTACCTTAGCTGCCGAGACTATTTCCTTGGCCACTCGGAGGGGCATGTGCTCTAAGGATTGTACTAAAAGCTGGGGTCTTACTTTGGCTATATCCTCGATGGTTTGAAAACCCGCTGCGTACAGTTGCTTGGCACGATTCTAAATGAGGAATTAAATTTCCATTAATTAGATTCCAGTCCTTAAATAACCAACTAATGACTCACAATCTTAACGGCTGGCAGTTCCATAAGCGGCTCTAGCTCAAAGGTTCCACATCGGTCCATTTTGTGTAGGATACGCTCAAACAACGGCTTATAGCACCAGAACTCTTCCAGCTCCTCGCAGAGGCGTACAATGGCACTGGATGCGGCTATGGATTGGCTAATGAGGTGCTGCAGAGTTCCACGCTCCACATTGTACTTGGTGGCCACAGAGGGAAGCGGCATGAGATTCAGTATGTCCGCCAAGATGAGCACCTTGTAGAGGCGATTCAGCTGCAGGGACAAGGGGCCCTGGACCGACTGCGTCTTAAATAGCCTAGCTGCATGGGCCTCCGTGAAGCCAAGTTGCTTGAACAAGGCCTGCGAGTCCGGCGGCAGCGAGGTGTAGACTCCAAAGAGAACGCTGGCATCGGCCGGAAACAGTTCATCACCCCTTTCATTCGAATTGAAGCACACGACCAGGTACAGCAAGTGCAAGTAGTTGGTCAGGATGAGCTGCTGCTGGGCCTGCTTCAGCTCCTTGTGGATGGCATTCGCCCGCTTGTAGTCAATGCCCGCTTTGAAGGCAGCTCTTCCAATGTTGGTCAACTTGAACGGGGTGGACTGGCCAATGAGCAGACGTCGCTCGCCAGCCGGTCGATTGGTTTGATTTACCTCCTGCGTGGTTATAATCTCTGAAGAATTTATCTTTGACTTGGCCGGCGGTTCGGTCAGCTGCAGCACTTTATTTTTAAACATCTCACGTAGAATCCGGAGCACTATCTCCTCCACGGCCACCTCCAGGGAGCTGGCCTGCACGGCGAGAAGGGTGCTGTTCACCAGCCGGTACAAATCTCGACGACATTCTGCTAGGTTCAATCCAACCACGCTGAGGATGAGTGACTGAAATAAGAATTGAATTAAATTTTTCATTTGCATCGATTTCTTTTCGCTGCCCTTTCGCAGTTCAACTTTTCAACTTAATTGTCGGTCATACAAATTTTGCTTATTTAGCACACTATGTTAAAAAAGAACCAGGCGATTAAATTTCCCATCTTTTCGCAGCAAAATGCAAATAAGCTGACAAATAATTATCAGTCTTTCACAACTAGCCAAATTATATTATAATAAAGAATCGGAAGCACAGCATTTCAATTAAATTTAAAAACTTTATTTTCAGCCTAGGAGTCCCAGTCCTCGATGAAATTTCAAGCAACTATACCGTTTTCGTCCTCAACAAATCCCCAAGATCTGATGACGATGCCAATAAGCTATTTCGCAATTAAAATATTTCCACTTCATTAATGTCAACAACGATATTATTTTCTTCCTTCATCAGCAATTTCAGAATAAATAAAAAAAATAAATATAAAATCATCATTTTTTTGCTGCTAACGAAAAATGAAGAATCAGCAGACATCTGATCCAAATCCCGAAAAATACTATTCAGCAATATTGCAAACAAATTTTGCAATTGATGTACCACCCTCCAATAAAAAAATAGTTTCTTCTGCTTTTATTTAGCAGACTCAGCTTAAAACCAGGCGTTCAGGCATTGCAGTTGCTTCTCATATTACAAGTGCCCAATTCGCAAAAAACTACACCAATGACTTTCGATTTCAGAAATTTTATTAAAATAATGTGAACAGATTTGATTTTAAATATAAAGTCGTGTCCTTTTATAACACTTATTTTGTTAAGGTAGCAAATTGCTAGTAGCAATCCTTTAATGGTAAGTTTAAATATAATTTATATACATATGTATATATGTGGATGATTTTGTTTTAGAAATCGACCATCATAGAGTATAATTTTAAAACAGAGTCAAAAAATGAGTTTTTAAACGTTTTTGAACATTTTTCAAAGTAGGAGGTATAACTAGTTAGTTACGATGTGGTCACTTTGGTCGGCTACCTATATAAGGCCTACGTTTCTCGGGTTCCGAATCAGTCGGTAGACACAGTTAACCAGACAAGTCAAATCTTTACGGATAACAATAACTTTTTTAAGCAGAAAAAAAAAACCAATAACGGGAAAAAAAACCATTCGCACTTTTTTAAAGAAAACAACGATTTTACTATAAACTCAAAAAAATTTCATTTTTTTAAAAAAAAAACCATTCGCTCTTTTTTAAAGAAAACAACCATTTTTACTATAAACTCAAAAAAATTGCATTTTTATCAGTTGAACATCAGAAGAAATCAGACCTTATAAGTAAGTAGATTCGGTTTTGTGTGTGTTTGCAGTGTAAAAAACCCTTAAAAACCTCGGGAACTATAAAACCGTATAACCTGATAAATATAACATTTCAGAATCTCTCGCGTTTTCCGACAGTGTGTCGGTTCGTCGGTCGATCCGTTCGTGGTGTCTACGTATCGCACAAGTCAATAAATTTTGTAACGCGTTTTCCTCATTAAAAAAATATCCTTGCTAAAACTTACTTGCAATCCAACGGCCTCCTGCTGATCCATTGAACTCAGAGCCTTATCCATGGGTGAGAAAAGCATTTGGCCCACCTGCAAATTGTCTTTGCTCTGTGCTATTAGAATACTCTCGCCAGCTTCACCTAATCCGGCGCGACCAGCTCGTCCCACCATTTGCTTGTACTTGCACAAAGTCATAAATTCCTGACCCACGTAGGGAGCTCGTATTATTACACGCTTGGCTGGAAGATTCACGCCCGCAGCCAAAGTGGAGGTACAGCAGATAACCGTGATTACTCCAAAACGATAGGCAGTCTCAATGTACTTCCTCTCGTCCGTAGTCAGTCCCGAATGATGATAAGCTATGCCATAGGGCAGAGTTTTCGCCAAGACCGGGCTGAGTATGCCGCACATCTTGTCCAGAGCATCCATCAGGTCCACCTTCTCGCTACGTCGGTGCTCGAAGAACTTTTGCTTTGGGACAATACGACTGAGAAGTAGCGCCACGTTCTCACAGTTTTTGCGACTGGGACAGAAAACCAGGCAGCAGTGCTCCGGAGCACATTCGCTGATCAAACCGGCCAAGTGGTCAGGATCTGCACGTTTGACAGCTTCGCTGTACTGCAAAAAATTTAAAAAAGAAAATATTATTGAACTTTTAGTTCCAATAGGAAGTGAAACTTACATTGTAATCAACACTTCGACTAGGGACAAAGATCTCGTCCAGCGTTTGACCAGCCGAATTGATTTCCAGCAAATCCCGGCCACATTTAATGTACTCCTTGAGTTCAACGGGTCGAAAGCCTCTTGTGTAGACATCTGCATTAAGAAATGAGGATATTTCGCTAAGATTTCCTATCGTGGCACTCATGCCCACAATTTGAATATTGGCTGAAACCACAAATCTTATTGTTCATTCAAAAATTTACCACACAAAAATATTTACCATTCAAAAACATCACCTTGGTGAGAAATGCCTCCAAGGTGGCTCCTCTGCCCTTTTCGCCAATTAAATGCAGTTCATCCACCACCACGAGACCAATCTCATGGGGTCGCTGCACATCAATTAAGCTGTCCATCAGAACAGCTCCCTTTTCAATGGAGGCAATGAACAGACTGCGCCTCTTCCGACACGGTTGAGGCGGGCACTTGCCCTTGCCGGCCGTATACTCCTCCACAATGAAGTCCAGATCGATTGCAAATGGAGACATGGCGCTGACCTTCTCCTGAACAATCGACACATATGGCAGGATAAACAACACGTTGCGTTCGCGACAAAGTAGTTCGCGCAGCATAAGAATTTCGGCCACAAGGGTTTTACCACCGCTCGTGGGGAGGGCATAGATAAGATTTTTTCGCTTCCTAATAGCAGGTAGATTCAGGCACTCGTCCTGCCATTCTAGAGGATATTAGAAAATTAGGTAAAAACATGTGTGGTGTTGGTTTTGGGTTAATAACTATACCGTAAAGACTTTTAATGCCCTTGTGCTCGAGTATCATCTTCTTGACCTTATCCGGCAGGCCATAGAATTCACCCTTGCTGGGAAAGTTTTCCTCAACTTGATTATCCTTCTCGAAGTCCGCAAAAGCCTGCGTCTCCCAATTTTCGGGATCAAGAATGGATTGGTTCTTTAGCTCTTCGCAAGTCACATATTGTGTGCCCTGCACTATGCCCTCTATCACAGATTTGGAAATAAACGACATGGACTCGTCTTTAACGGAGGGCAGTATCTTCTCCGGTGTCCTGGGCACTTTAAAGGTCACCGCGTCCAAGAAGAGCTGGGTGTTTTGAATCATGGGTTCACTGAAGTCATCTGCGCCACAGAATATGTCTTCCATTTCGCCAATGCTTAGGTCGTTCAGGTTGATTTTCTTGAACACCTCGTCGGCGTTGTCATCATCAGCTAAATCAATTTTATGGCCATCAGTTGGAGCACTGGTTTCGCTGGGTTTGTAGGATCTCTCTAGGGAGGCCTTCTGGGTGTCTGAGAAGGATGTGTCGACAAACAGTCCCAGTCCCTCATCCGATCCACTTTTCTGCAACTTGTTGCTGCCCGTCTCCGCCGCCTGTGTCCCGAAGAGCTCCTCCTTGCGTCCATCCAGCAAATCCTCCAGATTCGCGTTGGAGAAGAAGCTGTCGTTGTCGTCGCCCTCCGGCCAAAAGAGGTTTTCGCTGCACTGGCGCTTGGCATTGCTTCCGCCGGGTGCTTCGTCGGTCAAATTCAGA